CTGTGGCTTTTTTTCCTGTCTATCTGAGCATCTACAATTCAGACAACTGAGGATCATTCCCAGCTATGGTGCATTTTTTGTTGGCAATGCCTGAGTCTTTGTGTTTTGTACAAGAGCCAGGGAGAGCGGTGATGCAAACCTGCCTGACCTGGACTGCCAGAAGTACAAGAACTTTGATTTGTAATGGGAACCTCCCCACCTTCAGCCCCTTGGTAGAAGAAAATGAATGATGAAGCAATTTGCAGCCTCAAAGTTTAGGATATCATGAACACCTTTAGCCAGTTTCTGACTGTGCAAGTGGTAGTTGCTTGATGAGATGAGTTATGTTATTTCAGCGCTGCGGAGCAGAATTACCAATAGGTTTTGATACTTGCCATAACTATGTTTTATGTGAAGGGAGACATAAATCTTGCATCTGGGTATCCTGTGCATACGGAAACATGGACAATGAGGTGCTGAGATCAGTAGTGCAGGCCAAGATCCCTTTTATTCTGAAGAGAATGACTGTGGAATTAATTTGAAAGTGAAAGAAGCCAAAGACGTGACTGAAGAAGAGCTGCTTTGCTAGAACAGCCATTCAAACATGTACTTTATGTTTGGCTGGGGAAACATGATCACAGACTGTATGTTCAAGGTGGCTTAAGCTATGCTGGTTCACTTTGCTTGTCCTGGTGATTTTTGGCTATGATATTCTGCTTTGCATTTGTGGCAGGCTAGTGCTGTAAGTCAGTAGCCAGCAATAAGTTGTAAAATTGCGGTTGCTGTTAGTAATGATCCTGTGCTCTTTCAGAGGGTTGTAAATCAACTTAGATCGTGGTCTTTTTTTAATCTTTTCAGCTAGATGGCTATTCCATCTCTAGCACTGTAACATTTAACTGAGAGCTAACAAATCAACTGTCGTGTCAAGGTTTTTTTGTTAGTATCGTTGGAGTGCTGTGTGTTTCCTAGTCTGGTCAAAGCAATTTGTTCCTAAAAATTCTTATTTAAAGATGAAGCTAAAAGATGCTGATCGAAGCTGGATAAAATTTCTTTCACAATCAGTGAATCTGGTGAAGGATTTTTTTTTTTGGTCTGTTGAAACTGTTTATAGAGTCAAGTTTAATTCAGTTAATCTTTGGAGTCCTAAAATGGAAGATTACTTAAGGGAGTTGGAGGTTTTCATTTTGAAACAAGAAAACTGAGTTAAAAAAAGAAAGCTGCAAGAAGAACAAACTCAACGTCCTTCTTAGTGCTGAGAGAGCTGCTTTAGTCAAAATGCTGGTAACCCTGATCTCCCTAACATGGCCACAGTTTTTAATTCCAGCTGCTGGACTTTAGAAAAACCTATTAGACTGAACTTCTCAGTGGATTTGCGTGAACACGCACAATCCCCTAGCGAGGGGTGAGTGCAGGCATTTGGAAAGGCAGGGGAGGGAACTAAACAGCAGGTCTGCGGCTATCTCATCAGGCTGAACATTAACTGACCTGGAGTGGTCTTTCTCTTCCTATCCCTTGGAAGACCTCATAAGTTTTTGGATTTTTTTTTCATTCTGGTGTCCAAACAGAAAATATCTGAAGCCATTAATTTTTTTTCAAGGTGGAAAGACAGTCCTCCCAGCCAGCTATAGTTAAGAGTTGAATTTTGGCAGAGGGGCTGGGTTTGCTCTCTGTGGGTCACAGGCTGGCGTTTTCCTCAGTGTAGATGAGAGCCTGAAATGCCACATTGCACGTCAAGAGATGGAGCACTGTTCAGAGAGCGCCTCTCTTTGCTGGTGAGAGCACAGGATAGCCCTGAGGCAGGTCTGTTGAACTTGCAGACGTCCTTGGAGAGCAGAGACTCTGACCTGCAGCCCTTCAAAATGCTGCACTGCAGAGCTCAGCGTGCGCTGACCCACACAGCTAGATATGCTCAGTACAGGAGGGGGGCTGTCACAGCCTGCTACTATGGCCAGGCTACTCACAGTACCTGACGTTGCTAATTTAAAGATAGCTTGATGTGCCTCCATTGATTTCACTCACAGTAGTGACTTTCTTTCCAAGGATACAGCAACCTGTAGATAGACTAATTGATTACCCATATTTTTGATCAGTACCCATCGTTTCTTGCCTTTTCTTGGTCATCTTCTTTAAGAAGAATTTAAATATTCAAGGACACAAAATCCATATATATTTGTGAGTTAAATAAGAATAGAATTTCTAAACCTTGTATTTGGATTTTGTATTAGCTAATGCAGAAATCAGGTGGATCTGACCAGTGCTCCAAGTTTGAGCTTCTAAATCTTTCTGGAAGCTTGACGTTAAAGCTGAGGAACCTCTATAGCCTAAAGAGCACTCACTCATGGATCACATTCCCTATTTCAGCGTTCGCAGGATTCAACCATCTTATTAAGGGTTTCATGTTTGATTACTGGATTTTCTGTCATCAGAGCCAAGAATTTTCTTCATAAATTAATTCTGAGTAAATTGGAAGCATCTACCCCACCTCATTCTTTGCAATAGTGCAGGGAGTCTTACAGCTTCGCTCTGTCCCATAATGAGAGGGTTTGATAGGAAAACACCAGGTCTGATTTTAACAGGATTTTATGCAGTTGTATTCCTAGAGCTGATTTTATTTTATTGGATCTCATTCTCCGTATCTCTCCTGAGCTTTAGCTGGGCTTTAGCCATTGAATCGTATTAGTTTCAAAAATTCATTGCTGTGCAGCTCATTGGCAAGGAACAGAAGTTACTGCAATGGCTTTAACAGGAGTGTATTTTTTAATCCTTAATTTTATGTAGATTTCATTTATAGTTTCTTTTAAAATGCCATTCTTAAAACATGAACAGGTCTGATTATTCTGCTAAGAACTGTGCACACTGGAGATATGTGTCAATGATAGGTATTATATTGTATTTAACAAGCTGAGAAATATTAACAATTTGAGGATTTGAAACCAAAACCACTGGGAATCCTGTCCAGCAGTATTTTTAGGGAAAAGCTTATCCATAACTAAAAGGGAATGATCTCTTTACATTTCTCAAAGATCCAAGCAAATGAAGTTTGGTTTTGTTTTTTTTGGGGGTTTTTTTTGTTTTTTTAAGGAGAAAAGTGATTGGAGGGAGAGAACAAGTAGCGTTTGTTCATCACTGTGGTATTCTTTGGCTAATAAACACTTCAATGTCAGCAGTATGGTCCCCTGAGTGCTCACATGAGCACAGGTGGGGAATGTCTGAGAGGAGCAGCATGGCAGGTTCTTCAAGGTGCTAGGGAAATCCTGGGAAATAAGTGTCTTTAAATCCTACCTCCAGCAGCGAGCTCCTAATACTGGGTGGAGCCGTGCAAACCCAAACCGTTCTCAGCTGCAGAATCTAGTGGTAACACCCAGCTGGACTTTTGCCTCCCACGGGAGGCAACGTTGGAGAGAGGAGTGGTGAGCTGCTGAAAAGGGCAGGGGCTGTAGAGTGAGCAGCGGTTTGCAGGAGGGTGCTGCTCTTGGATGGCAGCACTACCACCTCTTCAGTACTCCGCATCACCCCAGCCAGTACTAGCAGAGAAGAATAATGTTGCATTGACACCTGATTAAGCTCTGTGTGGAAGCGGTTTGGTTTTGCCATGGCTGGTGTTATGAAGTCCCAGTGGCCCTTTGCTGACTTTGGCAGGCCACTGGGACTCCTAGGTTGCACTTTGTTCCCCCTTTTGTGTGGGGCACGCTTCTTAGCTCAGGCATAGCACCACACAGGGCCAATCTGCACTGTGCCTTCGCTCATTTGAAACCCAGAGCACTGCAGAGTATGGTATAGAGAAGGCACTCTTGAATTTTTCATGGCTTTTTAGCTCTGGCTGAGTATAAGCATGAGGGACTTGGGATGGTTTCAGCAAAGCCATTTTCTCCAGTGGTCCCAACAATAAGGTAATGCTGTGCAGGACCTGTTTGGGTCTTACAAAACCAGGTGAGGTCTGACAGGGTTTGCTAGCTCTGTTTCTATGCTGTGCCCAAGTACTACCCTGCTTCTTTTGGCCATGGAAGTGCACATGCTGTGTTGCACCTGAGTTGATAGATCTTGCTGAAGCTAAGCTGCCTCTGCATTTAGCCATAATATGTGTATCTGCAGCTGCATCATGGCTGATTTACAACTTGGATAAAATGGCTTGAGGCAGCTGAGAGCAGACTGCTGAGATTCAGATGCACTTTTCATGCTATTTCACTTCCATAACGTAACATGAGGAATGAGGAATGCAAGGAATGCAGAGAGACGACAGCTTAGGAGAGCTATTTTGGCTTTCAGGCACCAAGGAGGTTGACCCTGTAGGGTGAGGGGAGCTATATAGTGCAGCTTTTCAAATAGTAGTTGGACACTTGGTCTTCTGTGTCATTTACAAGACTGAGGTTGTGTGTGTTTGACAGACAACGGGGCAGTTCCCCACTACTTGCTTTGAGCAGCAGCAGACCTGGCAAAAGTGAACACCAGTGGTCTTGCTCCTTGGATCCTGTCACCTTCTTCATTAGACCCTGATTTCACAACGTACCAGCACCAGAGGCTGAGCCACTTGAAAGAATTCCTGACTCCCTGTCCCCTCAGTTTGCTGAGGGTGGCTGTTTGTGAGGACGAGTAATAAACAGTATCTGTCAACTGGCTTTAAAACAGTCCTCTTAAAAATAAATAAATAAAAATTCCTTCTCTGTTGGGGATTGAAAAAAGTGCAATTATGTCTGTGTTACTGCTTAAGAAAATACATGTGGAACCTCATCCTCAGTTAAACAAATGCTATGATTAAAGTAAATGCTGAGACAGGCAAACAGACAGTTCCTACATTTTCCCATGTATTGAAAAAAAAAGTCATTTCTTTTTTCAGCATTGCTTGAGAAACCCATCAGCAAAAGACGAGACAGTGAAGCTGTACAGAAGGCCAAGACCCTTTACGCATCCTGCATGAATGAGAGTAAGTGGCCTGATATGAGGGGGACACATGTGTTACTTGTGTTTATAAGGGCAGGCTTTTTTGCTCTCCACTGATCTCTTGAAGCTTTGTGCAGACGCACAGGTTTCACTGATTTGGATTCAACTGAATGCAGAGGGTCTTCTACGTATTTCTGAAGTTGGCTATTAAGACTGAGGTATGCCAAGGCATAAGAAGTCAGTTTTACAGAGACCTCTGCTTGTCAGGGAACCGTGAAGGGATATTTATCTGTGCAAAAGGATGCCAAAACCGTGCCCTGGGGGTGTGGGGGTAGTGCCTGGTAAATCAGAGGAGCCCTCTGATGAAATTCTCATACTGACACTTACAAGAGCCTGTTGCTCAGCACCTTCTACCTTTCTCTGAATACATTGAATCAAAACACTTCCACAGGGCTGGGCATAGACAGCCATGGATTCTTTAGCTTCAAGTTATCTGGATGTCAAGCAAGTTTGGACAGGGAACCCTATAGCCACATTTGCAGAGTGCTTTTCCTGAGCTTGTAAATGTTGCTGTAAGGTGATGTACGCTAGGTTGGGACACATCACTGCCTTTATGTAGCTGCATGGGTGAAAGATGAGTTGGGAGGGAGCGGACTTTGTCCTTCAAAGTGCCCTTTGTCCTTCTGACTCTTTCAGACTTTGTTTCCTAAGCAGTTTTCTTCCAGCACAGCATGAGACTGACTGTCAGCAACTGAGACAGCCTGCCCCGCAGCCTTGGTGCTGAGATGCTGATCCCTCTAGCTTTGATTATGTACAATAACCCCCTCTCAGAACCAGTGAAGTGTCTATGCTAGTTCCTAAGCGAGGAATGTTTTTTTCATTGACTTAATTCCAGGCCTTTGCCTTTTTTTCAAAGGAACTGATTTGCCTCTCTTAATCTTGATTCAGATAAACTGGGTTGGACTCCCGCGCTTCTATGCTCACAGGCAGAGCAGAGGCTTTGGGTTTCAGCTATTGTGTTTTGTCTTGCCTAGAAATCGATCAATGCTGATAAATCTTTGTGTCTCGTGTGGTTGCTGCTGGATTTGTATTCTCTGGAATGTAATTGTTGTCACACTTTGACATTTCAGATAAAATTGAAAAAGCTGATGTGAAACCCCTGTTAAGTATACTGAGGCATTCACCTTTCCGCTGGCCTGTGCTGGAATCCAACATTGGACCTGAAGGGCTGTGGTCAGAAAGGAGGTTTAGCTTAGTCCAAGCCTTGGCAACTCTTCGTGGTCAATACAGTAACTCTGTCTTCATCCGTTTATATGTGGCTGCTGATGACAAAATCTCCAATCGGTATATCCTGAAGGTACAATATAGTATATCTAATAGGTTACTTTAAGTGGTATTTTGTGGTCTCATTTTTAAAAAAAAATGCTTACATGCCAAATGTTTACACTTGATTATTGTTGTTATTATCTACTGACTTACAGATGTACATAGGTGCCAATTTATGGGAATGTAGAAGCCACTAGGAACAACATGCTATTGAAAAATATTTATGTACAGGATATTTTCTCCTTTCAAATGGCAAAAAAAGGTAAAATATGTTCCCAGTGGACCAATGTCCAGGGTCGATATGTGTGAAAATGAGAGAGGTGGATATCCAGTCCTGGGGGGTGTTCTGGGTGCTGCTTATGACTCACCGGTTGCATGAAGAACGTTTTTTGTCTGTGAAGATAAAGAATGTTGCATCAGTAGCAGATATTTTGAACTTGAGCTATTTTTCTTGCAATGGAAACACATTATCTTGTGCTTATACAGCACCTTACAACACAGATGTATCCCAAACATTTCTAAACCTGAAATACGGAATTAACCTTTTTACTGAAATGCTATTGCTTTTGGACCAAAGCATTACCAGTTTGTTACCAGTGCATGTCATGACACAACAGTTTAGATTAATGAGAAAAAGACCCAAGAAATGTTGCCTCACTGCAGTCTGACAAAACTCCAGAGGAAATTGTAACTATTACTGTGAGATGTCACCATGGCAAGACTGAGTGCCTGGGCCAAATGCATTGTTGTTGTTTAAGAAGTAGAGATGAGTAGCCAGAGTAGACCAGCCCTCCACTGCTACAAGAAGATAGTTTACAAAGGCAAGAGAGAAGAGACAAAGAAGAAAGTTGTTATGCCATTCATCACGGCAAAATAAGATCTATGATCTTTACGTTGCTAGCATCTTGGCTAGCTATAGGAATATAGCCCAAGAATACATTGTATTTGGGGATCAAACAACAGTTAACTGTGGTGGTACTGGAGTGGATGTCGATTCTGAGTCAGTTCTTGTGACTGAGGCATTTAGCTGGTATAAAATTGAAGGGTAACTTTCCCCATCTCTGACATCTTCCTGAATAATCAAGTCAACAGCAGATCAACAGTTTGCTGTATTAAAGATGTCATTCTACTAAGATGCTGTTCAGATCCTGTCAGGATTGCTTCAGCTGGAGATTTGTCTAAAAGAACTGAAACAGTACACTCGGGAGAGATATTTAGGTATCTCCTGTCAAAATATTTCAGTCCAAGTCACCTGTCAGCAAAGGGCTGGGCAGTTATGTCCTCACTGCTGGTCTCTTGGAAATGAATTATACCGAGCAGTACCTTCACTCAGTATGCTTATTGGCACCTAAGAATTAGGTATCTAAATAACTGAAGCACTACATGCTATGAATAACATATTGTTCTGTAGGGTATTCTGTTCTTGTTAATTTGATTAAGAACTTGATCTGCAGAACGCATCAGCCAGTATTCTACTTTGTCCATGTTTTAACAAATTCTCAGGGTGCAGATGTACCACGGAGTATTTCAATCTGCTTGTGAAAACAGCTCTATTGCAAAATTCTTTTTGTTCAGCATTGCAAAATCATGAATGGATCGGAAATAAGTAGAAACTCCAAATAAAACTTTGTTCAGCATTCAACATGATCTTTTTTTCTTGAGGACTGAAGAAGTTGGTTAACTTTTTTGTTTATTTCTCATATTTGTGCTTTCTTGGTTTCAATGGGCTGTCAAATCTAACTCTTAAGCCAGGAAAATTTGGATGAGCATATCATGCAACAGTCACATAACTGAAAGAGACCAAATCATCTGAAGTTAACTATTACCAGGACACACGTATGCAAAGCATAAGGGTGTATTCTTTTTGCTTCAATATGCTGAAAAAAAAATGGTGATACTGGTTTTCAAAGAATCAGAGTTGCACTGAGCATCATAGCTACTCTCCTTTTAGTGGATGATTTGTTTCATTTGTTTATGGTATATTTTAAAAGTTGAGAACATCAGCCAGTAGAGGAAAAGATGACATTTATTCATCCATTTTAGATTCTAAGTTGTATTTATTTAGGTCATTTTTATAAATGTAGAAAATGTGAAATATAAATGGTGTAGGATTTAGATTAAAAAAGACTTATGTGAAATTGTATGAATAAATACAATCTCTCTTCACTAGACTTATCTTCTAAAATTATTATTTTGATGCTGTATTTGTTTTTAAAACATCAAAACTGTCGTTTCTGCTCCAATCAGTATTTTATTCAGAGTTTGGAAGCTGATCGAGTTATGTGTTCAGCTTCGGCTTCCATAACCTAGCCTAACTTGATCGCGTTGAAGTGTTTTGGGAAATCTCAGCTTCCAGTAGTAATTTTAAGATATATGCTGCACTGTGAGTTTTGCCTGGATAGGAGCTTGAAACAGTATGCAAATACTCCCATGTAGTCATTCACTCAAAAGACTAAGTGCAGATCTCAATGAACTTTCAGGACTGGTTTAGAAATTACCTTGAGGACCTTATTCCCAATATTAGGGGGACTGTAGACCAACAAATCTGATCCATGTTTAGATCAAAAAGATAAGTGAAAGTCAAGGATCCACCTGGACCTATCAGACATCTTTAGCTAATGTAGCGGAGGCATAACAATTTCCCGTGCATGCACACAATCATTTCTGTGGCTGGTATCTAGCTGTTTCAGTACATCTGTTCAAAAAGCCAAATCAGCACTCAGCGCTGGTCTAGGGTGAAGCTCAAAAGTGTAACCTCGATTTCAAAGGCAGCTAACGATGATTTCCAGATACACAGCAGCTAACATGCTGCAGCACCTAATGGGCATTTGGTCCATACACTAGACTAGTATTTGTCTCAAGCTGACTCTTGTGACTCTGAAATATGTATAGGATGAATGGTTGTCAGCACTGACTGTTTGATCCTGTAGACCGAGTCCTATTGCATTACCTACTCGCTAATGGAGCCATAAACACATAAATTATGTAGGTGATTCTTTGCTGTAGTAGGTGGCTCCGATACTGCAGGGGGCATCTGAGGCTCCCCAGATCACAGTAATGTGTTTTCGGTAATGCCTGTCAGCACAGTATAGCATTTTTCTGTTGTTTTGAAATCCTGTGGAACTCAGGCTGGTGCAGTGTATTACGTATTAGACATTTACACACATCTATCACAATTGCCAGAAAAACATGAACTCTTCCAAGGTTGCTTATAGGGCTACCTTTGAATTCTGATGAATTTACCTATTAAATGCTGCTTCTTGTTTTTTTTAACAGCTCGACCAAGCAAGCCTCTCTCTTGCATCTCGAGAGGATTACCTAGAAAACACCACAGAAGCCAAATCTGTAAGTATTATTAACTGGAAATCAGAGTGACTATTTTTCTTCTCAGTTTTTTTCATTGTTGCTTTTGTTTTGTTGAGCTCCAAACTGAGAAAGGGTTGTGGTTTGTTTGGATTTGGATTTTTCAGGATATCTTCTATCAGAGCACACCACCACTACAAGCACCACTACCATGAAAACTCTTGCAAAGTTTCTCAAATCAAGATTTTTTTGTAAGATTTGGGGTCGCCCCTGCTTTTCTTCCCTCTTGGAGAGAGGCCTCTGGAGTTCATCTTGTCCAACCCCTCTGCTCAAGCAGGGTTGACCTCTGGAGTATACTACTAGTGACTGGCCTCCAACTGGACTTTGTGCTGCTGATCACAACCCCCTGGACCTGGTCACTCAGCTAATTTTCAATCCACCTCACTGTGCACTTCTTTAACCCATACTTTTTCAACTTGGGTTGAAAACAACAACAGCTGCTCTTCCCTCATCCACCAAAATATTAATGTAATTGTAGAAGGTTATCAGGCTGGTTAAGTATGATTTCCCCTTCATAAATCCATGCTCACTACTCCTGATCACCTTGTCCTTCATGTGTTTGGAAATAGTTTCTGGGGCGATTTTCTCCATCACCTTCCCAGGGATTGATATGAGGCTGACCAGCTTGTAGTTCCCTGGATATTCCTTCTTGCACTCCTTGAAGATAGGGGTGATACTTGGTCTCTTCCAGTCTTTAGAAACCTCTCCCAATAGCTATGACCTTCCAAATATTATCCAGAGTGGACTTGCAATGGTATCAGCCAGCTCCCTCAGCACTCATAAGTGCAACCTATCAGACCCCCTGGATTTACTTATGTCCACTCTGCTCCTTAATCTGGTCCTCTTCCACTGAGGATAGGCCTTCCTTGCTCCAGACTTCCCCTCTGGTCTCAGGGGCCTGGGGTTCCTGAAGGCCAGTCTTACCAGCAAAGGCTGGAGCAAAGTTGTCATTGAGTGTCTTGGCCTTTTCAGTATCACTTATCACCCTGCTCCACTTAACAGCAGATCCATGTTCTCCCCAGCTGTCTTTTTGCTGTTATGTACTTGTAGAGTCTTTTCTTGTTGGTCTTCACATCCCTTGCCAGATTCAACTTCAGGTTGGCCTTGGCTTTCCTAACCATATACCTGCAAGATTTGTCAGCAACTCTATACTTCTGGGTCAACCTGTCTGTGCTTCTACCTCTTATAAACTTCCTTCTTATGTTTGAGTTTAGTTAGGAGCTCCTTGTACACCCATGCAGGCCTCCTACCACCTCTGCTTGATTTCCTACTTGTCAGAATGGACCTTTCTTGAGCTTGGAGGAGCTCAGGCAGAGCTTCATGCATTCACACTGGTCTCTCACATAAAGGACAATTCCATCTCCTCACCTTCCCAGCCTGACCTTACTAAAAATCCTGTATCCACCCATTGCAGCACTCCAGTTGTACAAGTTATCCCACTATGTTTCTGTGATCCCAGTGAGGTCATAGCCCTGTAACTCCACACAGACTTCTAACTCCTCCTGTTTGCTCCCCATGCTGTGTGCATTAGTGTAAAGGTATTTCCAAGGGACACCCAGTCATGCTTGATTCTTCAGTATGGTCTTGAGAGCTTTCCTTATAAGGCTGTCCTGCGGGCACTTCCTTCTTTACATACCTACCCTCAAAGGGGTTCCATTTCAACTCTGCTTTGTTGATTGTTATGTCCCCTTTTTTCCCATCACCCCAGGCCCTTGGCTTGCCTACCCTATCTGCGCCTTCCTTAGTTGTTTTCTGAGGAATCACTCCCTCCCGCATTGTTTCTAGCTTAAAGTTCTCCTTACCACATTGGCCAGCCTGTTGGCAAAGATACTCTTTCCTTGTTTAGTCAAATGCATCCCATATCTTCCAAGCAGCTGTGAATTCTCAAAGAAGCTCCCATGATCATAGAAACCAAATCTCTGCTGCTGATGCCAGCTCCTCAACTAGATGTTAACCCACAAGATCTGTCATGTCTTCTTCAGGCCCTTATCCCTCACCAGCAGGATCAAGGAGAACACCACCTGGGCCCCATGCCCCTGACCTCTGTCCCCATAGCCCTGTAGTCATGCTTGATACTTTCCAGGTCATCCCTGGCAATAGCATTGGTGCCTACCAGGAAAAGCAGCAGGGAATTGTAGTCACAGGGCTGGATAAGCCTTGGTAGCCTCTTCACAATATCCTGAATGCAAGACTCCCAGCAAACAGCAAATCTGTCTAGATGACAAATCAGGTTGGCAGATGGGGGCCTCCATCCCCTGCAGTAGTGAGTCTCTTATCACTGTCGCTTGCTTCTTCCTTCTAGTGGTTCTGAGAGGCTCAGGCTCACAGTGCTCCAACTGATAGCGCTCCTGGGTCCTCACCAGCTACAACAGCTGTGGACATCCTGCATTGTGATGGGAGTTTCCACTTTCCAGCTTCATAGGCACAGGCTCCTCCTACTCTTCTGCTGCAGCTGAAGGTCCAGGCTTTTGAAGCTGTAGGGTCTCAGGGGAGGTCAGGTTCATCTTTCTCATTTCCTCTGAGGCTGTGTTATCTGCTCTCCTCTCACAGTTCTTTCACTTGCCAGCACAGCTCCTCAGCAACTGCACACCTCCTGCATGCTAGATGACCACGTGCCCCAGCCTTAATGAGAGGCTTCAAGCACTCCCTGCAGCCTGAGACTTGCAGAGATGCATCCTTCCTTATGAAGTACCATCTGGGTCAAAGAGTCCAATAACAAAGACAGAGTTACACCAGCGGTGCCTAGCGATCATGTCCTATTGTGTGGGACCACCATATCTAAGGTTGGGTATGCCAGACAAAGTTTGCTGGCCTTTTCTTTGTGAACTGCTGCATCTGTTGACAGCCTCTTGGAGCTGTGTTCTGGGCCTGGCTCTTACATAGGCCTCTCTCTGGCATGGGCTCAAAAGGTGCTCAACCCTCCGTGATCGGGAGTCAGCTAGAGGAAAGGCTGTGGGCACCCTTTGGTCAAGCACAGTTGCCAGAGTTAGCAGCTGCTGGAGCTACTCTCACCTTAGCTTTTACATGACCTGGTGGCAGTTCGAGCCCTCATGTCCCTCAGGGGGGACGACCCAGGAGTTCCCAGACCGTGGACAAAGTGCCCAGAAGCTCAAGAACATCTCAATGAAGTAGAGCCCAGAAGCTGCCATGTCCGCGGGCTGCCTCAGTGAGCTGCCTTCTGGGCCTGCCTCTTGGACTCAGTTAGGCCAGAAGGCTGAGCACATTTCAAGAGCCACTGCAGGTTATTATCATCAAGTTAACCTGAATTCATTTAATGAAGGGAACAAGAGTTCCTCAACAGATTTGAAGTATTCATTTCTTCTTCCCCCAGCTTTATGATTTTTCTGCTACATCTTAGTTTCTTGCCACTTTTCTATGGACAGCAGTCGTGAACCAATGATGTTTATCAAAGGCTTTAATGTATCAATATTTGACAGTGGCAGCACCTTTTTCCCCCTCACTCGATGAAGGCCTGTGGGCTGTATTCAGCACATGCAGCCCAAAGCTCATGGGCTCCCAAAGGAAAACAACTCCTTGGGTTGTCATGTGGGACAAGTCATTGCTACTGATTAAGTTCTTACAGTTTGCTTCCCTTCTGACTTCCCTGAGAGGTTATTAAGTTTTTTAGCCACATCTATCAGATTAGATGATGTCAGGATACAAAGAATTCTCTCTACTAAAAGATTGAAGGTGGAAATGGGTTGGGATATGTTTTTGCTGTTGTTGGACTGTGGGCTGGTAGGAATTGATAAGGAGCAATCTGATCCCTCCAAAATATCTGAAAGATTATGCTGAGGGGAAGGTAGCACAGAAATCACTACAGTATCATTACATATAGTGTATTTTGCTAAAATTTGTGTATACACACTGAGACTAAAATGTGCTTTATTACAATAGCCTGGGGAGAGCAGAGCAGAGCACTGTAGCAGGTACATGTGTTGCAGTGCTGTGACAGGAATAGAAGAGAGCTCAGTGGAGCATCCCTTTATCTCCCTATCTCTTCAGCCACTAAGCTTGCACTTGTATACAAGTACTTCTTCAGTCCTATGCTGATTACTGTATGAGTTGGCGTAAAATATGGTGTACACTCATACACGTTGTCTAATCCCATTGTAAGAGCTGCAAGCGTTGTCAGTCTAACCCAGAAGCATCATTTGCATTTCCTGAGATTTATGCTCTGTGAACCACAGCAGGTATCTCTGTCTGTCATGCACAGTATGTTTACAGTGTTATTTCTCCTTTTTTCCCTGATGACAGCAGGCATTCAAGGTAAGGAAAGCACAACTTTGGTTGCTAGGGCATGAAAATACAAAGTATTATACTCTTTGCTATAGCTGGGCATTTCTGGTCTACTGCCTCAGCTGTGCTCAAGAGCAAATCCAGTGGTCGTTTCACTCTTTTTGTTTCTTTACAGTACCGAGATGCCTTTTTGCAGTTCATGGTTGATACAGCAGTGCTTCTGGGCGCAAACGCTTCAAGAGCCGAATCTGATATGAAGTCGGTTCTAAGACTGGAAGTTAAAATAGCTGAGGTTGGTAATCTAATGCAGGATAGAAGCTAGCTTTTACCAAAAAAAAGTGCAATCCTTTTTCAAAATGGAAAGCCATTATATCAACAGCCTTAGCAACAGTGTTTTTAGGAAGTAGAAGGAAAGGAGCAGAACCTGATGAAGAAAGGATGAACAATATTCCTCCCTTAGTTAATTGTTAAACTGATTATTTTATCCTCAGGGGAAAAAAACCTTAGCCAAATGCTCTTGGTCCTTTAAATTATTAATATGTCAATGAGGCTCACTAGAGATAAGCCTGGGGGTGGCATGCCAATGTTTGAGGGACAGTGTGCTAGCGAGGTCCTTCGGTCTGCTGTCTCAGTGGAGGTAGGGGATGGAGATCCATGCAGCAGCAAAGATGCAAGGGTTATGGATCCCCCCAAAAAGGTGGTGGGATCAATAGCCCAACTGAAGCACATCTACACCAATGCACTAGAAGCCATTGTGTGGCTGGAAAACTATGATATAGTTGCCATCACGGAAACATGGTGGAGTGACTCGCACAACTGGAGTGCTGCAATGGATGGCTATAAACTCTTCAGAAGGGATAGGCAAGGAAGGAGAGGTGGTGGGGCAGCCCTGTATGTTAGGGAGTGTTTTGATTGTCTAGAGCTTGATGATGGTGGTGATAGGGTTGAGTGTTTATGAGTAAGAATCAGGGGGAAGGCCAACAAGGCAGATATCATGGTGAGAGTCTGTTATAGGCCACCCAACCAGGATGAAGAAGCAAATGAAATATTCTATAAGCAGCTGGGAGAATTCTCACAATCCCTAGCCCTTGTTCTCATGGGGGACTTCAACTTGCCAGATGTCTGCTGGAAATACAATACAGCAGAGAGGAAACAGTCTAGGAGGTTCCTGGAGTGTGTGGAAGATAACTTCCTGACACAGCTGGTGAGTGAGCCAACTAGGGAAGGTGCCCCAATGGACCTGTTGTTTGTGAACAGGGGAGGACTTGTGGGTGATGTGACGGTTGGAGGCCGTCTTGGGCATAGCGATCACAAAATGGTAGAGTTTTTGATTCTTGGAGAAGTAAGGAGGGGGGTCAGCAGAACTGCTACCTTGGACTTCCAGAGGGCAGACTTTGGCCTGTTTAGGAGC